GGGAGCAGTTAATCATTTAAAAAACGAAGTTATACTAAGAAGAGGTACAATCGAGGGTTTGTTTAGTCTGTGGGAGATAATATCTATAGTAATTTTTTAAAAAGCCCAATCCCCAGCCCAATCCCCACCCCAACGCCCGTGCAAACCCGCTCACCGTCGCCTCTTATTTGGGGGCCAAAAGACAAAAAATAAGACAGACAAAACCCCCCAAAAAGTTTTCATGAGACAAAGGAACAAAGCTGGATGCGGAAACAGCGACATTCAGGTGTCTCGCCGCCAGATGTTGTAGGGGCACGAAGCATAAAATTGACAGGCAGTTTTACATACGGTCGGTACTCGTAACCTAAAAAACTCTGACAAGAATAAATGTAAGAAATAATGGGAAACATGTTACCCTGGATAGGACATAGACTCGAGTGAAAACAGCACTCTATCACGCGCTAGTTTGGGCACGTTTGGCCAAGGTTGTCCGATAACGTATTGTTAGGATGGGAGCGCCGTTAGCTTAGTTGGTATCGTGCTGGACTACGGAGTTTGTGTCCGTGGATCGAATCCTCAACGGCGTGTTCTCATCTTACTTTGGTTTCATGAGGGATTTATAAGGATCTACAGCCATCTGTCTCGTGCGCATCGGAGATGGACTTTAAATTCAGATGTTCCGCCTCTCTAATAACCTTACAGTCTTGAAAGAGGCGTTAAATCTATACAATGAGCAACAATCAAGGCTGGGTTTAGTTTTAGTAAGAGTTTGTTGATTTGTTTTTTCTTAAATACACTTGTAACACACGAAGGTCATATAAGTGCCAAAGATCAGAGGTCTTACAAGAGACAAACATACATTGCTTATTTGTTTGTTTGTTTGTTTGTTGTTGTTGTTTGTTTGCTTGCTCGTTTGTTTGCGTTGTTTGTTTGGGTTTTTTTGTTGTTGTTTGTTTGGGTTTTTGGGGTTTTTTTTAGTTTTCTTTTTGATAAACATGTGCATATCCCGTTAATGAGTCACACAAAATATTATCTAACTCGGATATCCGTTTCCACAAAGACGCATTGCCGGCGTCTGTGTTATGATGGTTAGGCGCTGCGCTGTCGCAGGTAGGAAACCGAAGTTCGATTCCCAAGTGGGGATACATTTCGATCGAGTGTCTCGGTCTTTCTGCATCAACATTGTATCCCTCTCACACGAGCTGGCCCTGAAAGGTTAGGTCAAAAGGCCGCCTCCTAAATTATCCAAATTGTGTCGATGGAGCCGTAAAAAATACCCATATAAAAGACGCATTAACCAAAACCACCATCAAATCAATCAAAGACGCCCACCACAAAACAGGGGCCACAACTCGCGAGGAGATCACAGGAGGTCAAGGGAGAACATTTCCTTACTTCCGCTCCCACCCACCGGGCATGCGCCGTGAACGTAAG